GTGGCGAAAGCACTAACTCTCCAATTTCCGGCGGCTGGAAATGCATAAGACCGTCTGCTTTGAGGTCGTCGTAAAGGATCTCCACCACCTTTTAGCCGCTCTTTTTGTCACAGCTAGGCGCAACCTCTCGTAAATTGCATCATCGCGTGTATATTCTAATAGATTCTGCCTTTCATGAAAACGTCGTAGTCTACATTGCCGTCTGGCGGTACGGATAGCAAGAAAAGTAGCCGCCATATTGGATACAAAGACAAACGACAGACAACGGTAACTAAGCAACCTTTTTATTTCACTCATTACGCATGCGTACGATGAAACTCTAGAGTTAGCGACTGGTCTGACCAGTCGTTAAATATCCAAGGCAACAACGAGACAATAACGAGCGAGAGAACTAGCGACTGCTTCGTGAAACGGCACTATAACTAGCGAGAGGCTAACTACCGATCGCTAACTAACTACTGCTTTGTGAAACCGGCCCCAGAATGATTATAAAACAGTAGTGTAGGAAGCAACTTTTAAGTGTGTGTAGTAAAAAAAGTAGCAATGAAGGAAAGGGGGATGACTACAAATACTATATACTCTCTGCTCAGTCGGAAGATCCTCATACTTATTCACGGGATAAAGAACGCTAACCAACCGGTGTCAATGAGAAGCTTGGTTATAAATGACACGTGTCTAAGATTTTGATTTTAAATCAGTCTGGATAACAGTAACTTAACTCCTGTGGAGGTGAATATATGAAGAAAGTGGAATAATTTAATCACATTAATTTCCCAAAACTAATACTTACTGACAATTATTAACGAAAATGAGCTAATGGTGCGTCTAAACGAGACGGGAATATTCAAAGAACAGAACAGAGGGTGGGTGGGCGGAAAAAGAACACCCCTTCTTTTTTGCTCATCATCCTAGACGCACATTTTGAATAAAATTAAATATTGGCCTCTTTGCAACCCCAATAATCAAAATACGTGCACTACTTTTTTTTGATATTTATTTTTTATGGTATAACATTACGTAATTTTAATTAATTCTAATTTATTTAACATAATCTAATGCTATATAACTAACACTATTCCTTTACTAGAGGCACCTTTCAATAAAAGCGGCCGTCAACAGCCAAATTTCGAACACTATATTTGTGTTTGTCCTTTACTTATCCTTTCGCTTGGGTTAATGAGGAGACATTAATATTATTGATTAAAAAACTAACCACTTTTCCGTCAAAAACTTCTGAGTTTAAGTTAATCCTTACGTTTGTCATATTAATTTTTCATACCATCGTTACAAAAAGCATCATTGTGATCAGCTATAATTGTGATTAAAATTGCTTGTTGTCTGTCACCTGCATTCACATTTTTTAAATATCCTATGAATGCATCACAAAAATATGGTAAAATATATCCAATGAAGTTTGCCGTTTTTGTAACAGACTCGTATTATGATTTCTAAAATTATATTATTTATTCATATAACGTAAGTCATTTTTGTTTTGAAAGGGTGGGGATGCTATGTTCTATTAATTTCTTTCCTTTTGAGATGAGGCTATCTTACAGAAGGCCATCTGCGCTGATTAGTGATAGTATTTGTTAGAAAGAACAGTGCCTGGGTTGTCTTTTCTGGTTAAGAAGTGCCCCCAAGTTAATTTTTAAAATAGGGTGTGGGGTGGATAAGGGGTGCATAGTACTTCTTGGTGACGATGATGATGATGATGATGATGATGATGATATATATATATATTTTAGCTGGAATTCTATTTTTCAGCATGTCATGGGCCATTCAACCCAACCGACAGAATTTAGATAAGCAATTCCCGTCTCTAGTGTACACTAGTAACTGTGGAAAAGAGAGGGTGTTGTGCATAGAATGTGGTTTTCAAAACACTTGCTCCTGCCTTGATGCCCAACATTTAATTTTTTTAAATAACAGTAAATATTAATTAATTAAAGCCCAATCTTTTGGACAAAATATTCATTCTCTTTTTGTTAAGATACTGTATTTTATATTTTCAGATCTTTATAACATTGGCAGATTTTGAAAATCACATAAACTGTGTTAAAAAGTCAGAAAAAGAACACAATCCTTTTACTTTTATATATATAATTTATTGATAGTACCAAAGAAGGATTCAGTTTGATGCAGAGCAATGCAGTGCAGGTAAAGCTAGAAAGTAAATAAAAAGCACAAAATATTACCAACAAGTAACACTGCAGAAACTGAGTACAATATATAAAACAATACACAATAAATTTCCAATAATTCTCCTCAAGGAACCTAGTCACTGTGGGGTTATTCTCCTTTCTCAAAAACACATCTAAACACAGGTTTCACAACTCACTTTATCACCATTACCTGTATAGTGTGTTTGAGCAACATGATAAAAATGTCCTTTTTTGTTTTTCACTTGGTTCAATAAATTACACAAATTATGCAGTCACAGCCTCCACTTATCACACTATCCAAATCTATGTTTACAGGCCATATATTTAATATCTATATAATACTTGCACTTTATTTCTACTGGCTTTATTCTATACCTTAAAGTAAAATTATAAATATAGCACAGATGCTTAAAATTTCCATACTACTTTACAGGCTGTGTTTGGCTATGGAGAAATCCTGCACTGCAAATGGTGTATAATACAACTAGTCTAAGCTCTACTTTACACTGTACAGCCCAGGCTCAGGGTAACCTGGGGAGAAAAGTTTAACCTTGCGATTAACCCCTTCCAAACACTTTGAGAGGGTCGGTCCAGAAAGGGTTAATCTATCAAGGCCTTAATGAAATCTAAACAAGCACATTATTATCTTTATTATCATTGTTGCATATTTTTTCAACTGTATTGCATAGTACGGCATTGCTAGTTTTGCATTATTACTGCATAGAAAAAAATGAAACTAAAACAATATTCTCTGCTCCTCTTATCTTAACTTTATCATCATGACAAATGTGCGATTTATTTCTGCTTTTTATTTTTTCAAGGCACATCATATGGCCATGACATCCATCTCTAGAACAGGAGGCTGGCTAAAAGTCGTGATATTACATTTATAATGTCACATTCTGGCTTGTGAGAATGGGGATTTGAGTTAATTCCTCAACATGCCAATTGTACTACCTTAGTTAGACAATGTAGCCAACCTATATAATGTCACCAATAACAGACCTTTTTACACACCACATGATCTTGATATTGTGGCACAAATACACACCACATGAAATCTGTTTTGATGTACAATGATTGGGATTCTTTTCAGGGTAAAAAAAGATAAAAAGAGTGACTGTTTAAGCCACTGATTTTTGTAGTTGATATTTACATTTTTAAAGATGTCTTTATTACTGTAGGGCATTTATGTAAGCATGAATTCATACACCAGATACTGGGATTTTGTCACCATCTACTCTCTCCACCTAAGTGGTGACAGGAGACAGCAACTTGGTCACCAGTAACTAATAATAGAACTCATGAAGACACAAAGCAACATAGCTGACTTGGTTATTAACTTAATGGCGTGATCCTGGAAGTTGTTTCACTTTCAGATCAGCCTCACACGAAGAAACTTCACCAGTTGCCGTGACAACCCTACACTCATATTCGCCACTGTCACTGGGAGACACATTACGAATAATCAAAGAATGTGCCCCACGGCTGCCATCTTGAAACTGAAAATGAGGGTCATCACGAATCTCCTTACCATCTTTGAACCAGTGAACATCTGCTTCTCGTGTCCCAGTTACAACTTTACAATCAAATCTTGCACTGTCCCCAACAAATGCTGTGCAGTCACTCATTTCTTTAATAAACTTGGGAGCCATTTTCCTGACACCCAATTCCTCTTCCTCTTCCATTTCTCTAGCTGCAGTTGATTTCTTCACCATTTCTTCCACCTTTTTGGGAACAGAATAAGAAGTAGTTGTGAACGAGTTGTTCTCATGGTTGTTTGGACTTTTCTCATGCTTTGTCATTCTGTTAGAGGCTCCATGCAGAGTTGAGTCAACAGAAACAGCATGCCTTGATCCAATAACACCTTTCAAATCATGCTGGTTATTTTCCACATCATTTCCGTTCATCTCCTCTTTCAAGACAGGCTCCGATTGCACACGGTCCTTGGCAGTGTCCTTGCTGTCCCCAGTCTTCTTTTTCTTGCCCCCACCCAAGGATTTCTGTAATGATGCCATGCGGCCTAGAGCTCGAATTGCATTGCCAGTTTTCTGCAAGGATAAAACACACACCAAGCGGTCACCCCATGCAGGGAAAGGAGAAAGCAAATGGGAATGTTTAGAAAACAGAACAAGGGGAGGATAAACCTCATCAAGTCATACCAAGGTATTTGTAAACCTAGACAGGTACTTATCACTCAGAGGGTATCATAAGAAACTTCACATGTGAGGGCAACTTGGATTGGAACAAGGGTAGATTTCACTTTAGTTCATTACCTTTTTTGCCATTCAAAAACGGAAAATCATTACTAGGTACTATTACAGGTTATTTTTCACTCTGGTCCAGATAAAATGACATGATATTTGACACACAAGCCTTTAAGAAATGGGGAATCCAATGGCAATTTGTGGAAATTATTATCTGTAAGTATGGGATTTATGCTTAAACAGGAAAGAAAAAGTGCTTGCAATGCAGATGGTCTATTAAGAAAAATGGGATCAACATGCTTTAAAGGATTTATTTCTAAATTTACAGCTTCAAAAGTCGAACTTTCAGGACAGATCTACTGCAATTCTAAGCTGTTCTTAGTTTCTTTTTGTATAGCACTACAGAACTTTAAAGCTTTCACACATGCTAAAATAACTCTCAGACAATGTACTTGATATTTTAGATAAAAATTATCTACTTTAAAGTCTTATGAAACTAGCAAAGAATACTGTCTTTCATATTGCTCTATATTCAACAATCTTATCATATCATTCTACATTATGTATTGTTCTATTCTTA